CAACTCATGTGTCAAAATATTCTTGCTCTCAACCTCTTGTGAAATTGCTTGTTAGTCTATCATTCTTGAACAGATAAGGTTAGTGTCAAATACCTTTGTTGGCCTAACCTGTCTGTGCTTTTTTTGCCACTGCATCTCTGCTATCGTTGGTATTGTGTCATAGAACCCTGTGGGCCAGCTACATTCAAATTCTTGCATTTGGCAAATTCCAGTTGTAACTGTGCTATCTACACTGACTGATGATGGTGTCACACTGTCACTGACAATGTTTAGTGCTGCCTCTGGGTGTTTTTACAACTGACACCCTTTGTTATTGTTCTTGGGTGCTCAATGGGGTCTCATGGATCAATGCATGGATCTCGCTTCTTCCTAATGGCTTCCCCATCCCTTGTATCTGCAGCAATGCTTGACTTCATTTCTCTAGGAGATCTCTTGTATTTGTGCCTCTTTGGTGTTATTTAGGTTTGCAATATCTTCCACCAGCCAGCTGCATATGTAGAGGCTCAGAGCTCAAGTTCTGAGAGTCTCTGGTTTCAGTGTGATCGCAATGATGTCACGATAGCCGTGGCCATACCGCAGTTTCAATGTACCTGTCACTCCATATACCACCATTCCATATTCCTGGTGCATGAAGAAAACAGCTGACTGTGTGTGAAGTTTTCATTACAAAATAACTGTCACCTGGTGTGTTAATCAGGAGGGAAATGGTAATAAGTGTTCATATTTCAAAATGCTCAACAGTGACAAGGCGTCATCAAAAAAACTGTAGTGTCCAGTTGCATCTGCAGAAGTGTTTTTTTTACCCACGAAAGCTTATGCCCAAATAAATCTGTTTTTCTTTAAGGTGCCACTGGACTCCTCATTGTTTTTGTGGATACAGACTAACACGGCTACCCCCTGATACAAGGCATCATCAGGCAGTTTTTTGTTTTTTTTTTTACTTCAGAGCCTTGAAATTCAGAATCTACAAAAAAAAAAACCCACTGTATGGACACTAAAACATGGCACTGCCAAAAACTTGCAAACTACCAAACTGAGAGAGAGGAGGATGAAGGTAGCAATAGAGCAGAGTCACACAGCTTCCTGTTAGTGGTTTTGCTATGTCAGGAGGCAGCAGCTCTGAAGATTGTCAGCAGAACTTCCTAGAAGGGATCTGGAGATACAGGAAGGGACTGACTGCCTTCAAGAAATATGAAACCTTTTAGAGAGACTGTAATCCAGTCTAAAAGCAGGGGCAAGACAGACATCTGGTTAAGCCAGACCCGGCATGGCTGCAGACAGACCTACCGTGTGAATGGCTTGGTCCTGGCAACTGCAGGGAAAATTTTCATTCAATTCTTAGGAAAAGGGAAATGCCTTTAGGGGGGCTGTAGCCAGAGAAATCTGTTTGGGGAGGGAGGGCACACACTTCAGCAAAGATTTGGGTCCTGGCTCCTAAAAGGCTTTATTCTTCCTCACTCCATCACTTGGCACAGGAGGCGAATCCAATCACAATATTCAAAAATTTCTAAAAACAACCTCATGTCACTCACACTTTAAGCCATTCAAATAACCTTTAAGTTTACTTTAGACTTTTTAGGAGCCATAAGCATATATGCTGAACATACACCAGAATCTGTGTAACTAGACAAGGGCCTGAGACGTTAAGATTAGATCTGAAACCAAACCTCTCCAGAGTTTGGGGGTGTTCTGTTATAGGAGTTTGTTTGGTCCAATATCCATAGTGTAATATAGACTGACACATGACAAACTCTCAGTTAAATAATATGAACTTTTTGATTTTAGCATTACACTTATAAAGGAGGGAGGGGACTTTACAATTTACTTGTAACTCTTCCTCTCATTATTTATGTCCGCTCTTCTCACAAATGAAATGCTGAAAAAATAAATACAATAAAATTCCAATTATCCTAATTCACTTGATCAGAAAATCCTAATTATCCGAATGCACAGTGTGTCCCCGATGCAGCCCCAAATTGGTTAATCACCCATCAGTATCATGACAATCAGTTTCTTAGTGCCTGTTAGCACTAATCAGTTTTGAATTTGTATAGCAGTTCTGAGCTGTTACCTACAGCTACTGAGACCTACCTGTTTCAGCTGCAAGAGCAGTTTAGCAGGAAAACGTCAAAAAGAAAATGATCTGTGTTAGATCTAAAGCAGAAACTACAGATTCTCAAGGTCTTAGAAAGGGGAGAAAAAGTTGTTGATGTCATGCACCATTGCAACATTGGTAACTCCACCATCTGTGATATCTGGAAGGCAAGGGACAAGCTGCATAGATTTGCTGCAGCCGTTGGCACAATGACGACAGGTGACAGACTGTGATTAATCATTTTCATAAAAAAGATAAATAATTCACAATTAAATTATGTCCACTGTGATTATAATACAATTTTGATGTTTTAATAAATTCAATGAAGTTGTTTATTTACTCTTTAATGAAGTACAAAGTATTAAGCAAACATCTGCATTACTCCCTTTATTTCCTGTATTTCTGTATCAGTGGAAATGTAGCTCAAAATAGCACTTCCGTTTATCTGCATGCCTGGTTATCCAAAAGTTTCAGATGTCCCCCAGGCCATTTGGATAAATGGGAGAGTAGCATACATTATTTAGCAGAGTATCTTGATACATCATTTATGTATATGTTCTTTAGCTAATGACACGGAGTGATGAGTTTCCGCCTTGTGCACTAACCATGGCACAAGAAGGATGTAGCAATAAATATGTTCATTAAGAGAAAGGAAATACGCACACCCAGCAGATGAACAGAGATATATCTGAGGGTCATAAGTGATGATAGGAAAAGATACAAATATCTGATCTGAAAAAATGCCATGCACGGAGGCCAGATGAATGCTATTATTACTCACTGTGCTATTTTTACTCAGATTAATCTGTATTACTCACTGTCTATTCAGCTCATTTTGCAATAGTTCAACTCATCTCTATAAGAAGCTCCCTATTTATACAGCATCTTATAGACACAAAACCAAGTGTTTCCTATTTCTTTTGTATACAAAAGGATAGAACTGTGGATATGGGAACTTGCCATTCAACAGCGGAAATTATTTGTAAAGCTGGAAAATGGAGACACCAGGAAGAAAAGGCCTTAATGAAACAGTGCACTGTCGGTGCCAACCGTCAGACTTTTTACATACACTTCCAAGGAACACTCACTTTAGAAGTTCTCTTTGTGCTGGTTTTCTCTGTCACTATTACTATACTTCATTGAACAATAAAAACAAAAATATTAATACCATCATAAATAACATTACAATGTATGCTATCCCAAGAACAGTTTTTTCAGCAGATGCAATCAATGACAAGTTAGCTTATTTTGCTTTTGATTCTGCACAAAGCCACAGTCAAGGGGCAGATGATTCTCAGTAAGCATCAGTTAAATTACAGGAACTCACCACTTGTGCTTAGCTGAGTCAAGTTCAATAGGATCCCCCAAATATTCTGAATGTCTGGTATCATGCACAGCAGTTGCACTTTGGCGAGAGGATACTTTTCAAAAATTCTATTTCATCTTCCCAAAGGCTTATAACTTGGCCAAATTTGGGTGAATTTTCACAAGGGATGGCAAGAGGCACATCCCTGATACCAGGCATCATGCCAAATTTCAAGTCCTTGTTCCAAAGCATGGAGGAGCTAGCGCTTCTCAACATAATGGTTGGTTTTTTTAAAATGTGGGAAACAACATGTTTTTCCTATCTTTGTTCTGAGGCAGATAGCCAATATGGAAAATTTCATCCTAAATGGTTTAAGACTGGCAATTTTATAAGCAACTGAAAACAGGTTCTTAAAATAGAAAGTGTTGGGCAACCCTAACTACAGGCAGCTCCTACCAGCTCCATCTACAATAATTGTGCTAGTAGAATCTAAGTATAGGCAGTGCAGGTAACATGCCAATATTTAAGCTTGCCCAACATTTCCCATTATAAGACCCTTTTTTTCAGTTCTTCTGCAACAAATACAACATAGGTCCTATACCCAAGAGCCTCATTCACTACACAGCCTTTATTCATTTTTAGAACACTGTCCATCCAACCCAGGTCATGATGCACATGCACAAGGGGACCAAATGAAGGTGGCCTGGGCAACCTTAATTCTGGCATTTCCTAATTTTTGAGTGTTTGACTTTACAATCGTAATAATGTTCAAATAACCTTTTTTTTAAGCATTTAATTTAACTAAATAAAATGAGGAAAGGATCATAGGTTCTATAGAGAAACTGAATGGACTAGTAAGCAAGGACTACATGGGTGACATTAAAATGCCAATATTTATCAACAACTACCACACAACAGTATCTGAACTATGAGTTTCCCCCTATTATTAGAATAGGAAAGAACGTGTGACATCTGCAGACAAAAGCTGACTTTTTCATAGGGACTTCTGTAAGTTGGAAAATAGGACTACCTTGCTCTCTCCCACAGAGAAACCTATAAGGGGGTGCTGGGGAAGAAATTCTCTCAAACTAACTCCTCCCAGAGATTCCCTCACAATATTCCGTGGTTGTTCTCCCTCCACATAGAATAGGCCATGGAGCACACCCCTCAAATATGAAAGATGCCCATAGATCTGTGGGAGGCCAGAGCCAATCATCCAGGGGACCTGTGCCTTCACACTAACTTTGCGCCCATCCCCACAATCCAAAGTCCCTATTATCATGATTCCAATACAGCCATTTTCCCAAGGACCATCCGCCCATCCCATCCCTGTGACCATGGCTTCTTTTGGAACCACTAGTGTAGTAGGAACTTCAGGATAAAGATAACTCAGCCTAAGACTATTATTTTTTCTGGGCAATCTCCAAGGAACCTGACAAATAAGGAAAGCATATTTTGTGTGTGTGTGCATGTGTGTGTGTGTATTTGCCGTTAGAATTCCCCTCATCAAGTAAGTTGATGGTATTTGTGTTAGATTTTTCACAAGGATAGTTCTGCGTTTTCACTCCCCAGCCACTAGCAGAGAACAGAATGTTTTACCTCTGCTCCTGAATACTTCTGCGTCTGCAGGACGAGCTCCTCTAAGCAGACTTCATCACTGATGGGCATGGAGCGAAACTGAAGTTTAAAGATTTCTCTACGAGTTTTGGCATCTGGCAAGGGCACATAGATGATTCTGTCAATTCGTCCAGGTCTCATCAAAGCCTATAAAGAAAACGTCACACAAAACCAGTTAACAAAAATGAAGTAACTCAATAATAAAAATCACACATTGAGGATTTTCCCCTCTGAGTATACTAACAGTTAGGCCATGAATATATAGCATTTTATGCTTGTATATTAGGATTTTTCAATAAATGAAGAGAAACCAATGCTACTTCTCAGATTCCAATAGAGCCATGTACTGAAACCATTCTAAACAAAGTATAAAAGACGTTTTCCTAAAAATAATTTAAGACTTGTTTCAAGGAGTGTTGGAACCTGGCAGATGGATAAATGGCTATTCTCTCCATAAGTTATGATCTTCAATTAAAACTATAGTAATAAAGTTAGAAAATATAAATGTTACACATACTTGTTATTTTACTCTGATCTAACATCTTGTCAGTCTTTACAAGAGAAGGAAAGGTTATCCTTTCACCCCCATACTTTTTTAATACAAAAATGGTAATGGTAGGCAGCAACCAATGACTTTCAGTTTCAATAACGAAAAACATGAAGTTTCAAGAACTCTGTAGCTTAATAACTGATCATCAGTATAGTCTGATCTCAGTGGAGCAGTTTTTCTCTTCTCCTGTGCCACAGGACACTTTTAAATTAAACAAATGAAAAGAGCTACAATCTAAGGCCCCAATCTGGCAAAGTCTTATACGCATGTATAACTTTCCGCACTGTAAGTAGTCACTGTGGCTTCAGTAGGACTACTCCCAGTATATATGTTAAGTATGTGCTCAAGTCTTTCCAAGAGCACAACTTAAAGTAGAGCAATGGCAATAAAAACAAAAGCAATGTCAGCAGCACTAAAAGTGCATCAAAGATAAAATACAAACAAAGCAGAAAAAAAAATAAAACCTACTCCATTGCGAACCAGAATTAATGTATACCTCAATTCATAACTTGAAAATAATAATAATAGTAAATGCCCCTCTGATTTAAGAACGCCATTATTTTTCCCCCCTGAGATGGAATTGTCACTGAATTCTTTATGTAAAATTTCTAAGCTGAATTATTGGACAAATTCTGAGATCTTTTACTCAGGCAAAATTCTCATGGAAGTCTGAGTAAGGACTTAAGGGCTAATTCCTAAGTAAACATAAATATTTATAAGGAGTCAGTTACCTAATTTGTGAGATCAAAGGAAGTCATTTTGATATTTTTGAAAAAGTCTAGAAATTGTTTAATTTTGTTAATGTTTCATTTGCTGATAGAGCATCTGAGAGAAATGTACATGCTGAATGCACATAAATAATATTTAAAACACACTTTAAACTGGACAATGTTTATAAGATCCAGCCTATAACCTAAATTCTTTTTATGTTACAGTTCTCCCTTGGGCAGGGTAGTTTGAGTTCCAGTTGACTTGAGATATTGCATAGTTGTCCTGGGCTGTCAGCCAATAAGTCTTTTCCCAGCCTGATCATGTCAGTGAAAGTCATGCTGAAAAAATAGTAGGAAAGAGCCTTCCTTCCTACTCAGCATTGATCAAGTTAACACCCTTCCTAGAGTTGCTTTAAAAAGACTGTTGTGGTGCTTCGGGGTGGAAAATTGTATCCTGAATGTTAAGAGATGTCCTGTTATTTTTAAAACAAAAACACGACAGTTCTCAACTAGAGAAACTGCACTATATACAATGAATTCCAACTAGCTACCCACAGCAGCATTGGTGCGTTTATTTAGGAACTGGACACACTAAAGAGACGATGCAACAAGTTTGTAATTCAATGTCTACATCATATTTATATCAGGACACTGCCATTTTTTCATCAACATTTTTGTTAGAGGAATTTGCAAGTTTCAAGAATGGCCTGTAAGGTAGAAAGTATCAGAGGGGTAGCCATGTTAGTCTGTACCCACAAAAACAATGAGAAGTCTGGTGGCACCTTAACGACTAACAGATTTATTTGGGCAAAAGCTTTCATGGGTAAAAAAACCACTTCAGATCCATGGAGTGAAAATTACAGAAACAGACAAATATATATTGGCACATGAAGAGAAGGGAGTTACCTTACAAGTGGAGAACCAATGTTGAAGGGCAATTAGGTCAGGGTGGATGTGGTCCACTCCCAATAATTGATGAGGAGGTGTCAATACCAAGAGAGGGAAAATTGCTTTTGTAGTGAGCCAACCACTACAAAAGGTACGGTATTCGGTATTATATTGCATTCCACTTGCTCCTAAGGAAATGCTTATAGCTAATCTTATCACATACAGAAAACCTGAAATGTTCATGAGTACAACGGTGAACTTCACTTAATTTAGGGTTGGTTTAATCAGGAAACCTACTCAGTTAGGATGTTTCCTATGGAGATAATTAGCCTAACAATAGTGAATGACAACGACTGCTGTTTAACCAGTATTAAAAAGTATTAGTATTAAATTCTAAGATCTAAGAAGTTATCCAATGAAATTCAAAAAGCAGAAGAAATAAAGATGAAATGCAGTGAATATCATATTTATTTTTGTGCTGTTTTTAGCACTACTTTTCACTTCAATGTCTTTTCAGACTGCTTCATGTTTTATGTAGTCTCTAATTGGTGGCCCAAATAAAAGATACTGTTATATTTTGGCTTTGACTTTACTATATTTTCTTCTTAAAAGATAGAATTTTTTAAATTAAATTTGAGTTATGGATGTGCTTGGAGTCCCCAATCAAGTTAGGGCCACCACCCTGTGCGAGTTGCTGTATGTACACATAATAAGAACCAATACCAGCATTTAAGAGCTTACCATCTAAAATCAATAAGACAAAGGGCAGAGAGGAAGTATAGTTATTTTACAGATTGGGAAATGGGATACAGAGAGACTAAGAGACAAACTTTCTCCTACATCCAAGCTCTACGTGGGACCAGACAAATGGTGGCAAGGGAGTTGATAGATTCTAAGGTTTGTGCTAGTCCCGGTGAAAGGTAGAGCAGTGAAAAAGTGAAAATAGATATTTTGGTGCTCACACACATAAGAATAGTTCTTTGTGTTCCTAAGCACTTTTCACAAAGAATTATAAAGTGCTTTACAAATGTTGTTTGAAACTCAACACCCCTGTGTGGTACCTAAGAATTATTACTCCCACTGGGGAGATAAGGCGCAGATAAATTAAGTAACTTGCTCAAGATCTCACAAAGTCCATGGCAGTTATGAGGATAAGAACCTAGATCTCCTGACTCCCAGGCTTGTTCTTTAGCTACAAGATTATTTTTCCTCCTTCAAACCCTGAGGACCCCAATCATTTTGTCTCTATTAAATCCCACCTCCTCCTCAGATTGACTATGCTTTTCAGCAACAGTACTTCCTTCCTGCTGGATCTCTCTCTGGGGCCAGCCAATCGTACAATAAATAAAAGGCTAAATCTTAAAATCAGATGCGAGTCTTCCGCAATAAAAACTACCCATATGATCACAGATTTAGTATAGACTAGCAGTCCATTGGAATAAGATAGTTCCAAAGAATGATTTAATTGATTTAGGCCTTGTCTAGCTAGGGGGAGATTTTTAAAAAAAATCTAATTATCTGATCTGAAATAAAACTTAGCACCTAGCATAGACAAAGTTAACACCTTTACAAATACACTAGCTGGTCTTGCTGTAATCTAGATTCTTTCGTTGGATACACCATGACCAGCTAATATTATTTTAAAGGTGTTTAAACTGTGTCTACACTAAGTGGTGTTTCAAATCAGATTAGCTAACTTGATTTTTTTTTAATCACCCCTTTTCTCATACTGTAGACAAGACCTTGTATGTAGGTAGAATTTTGAATGTTTTATCTGTGATGTCAGAATGATTACTGTGCCTTACTTTGAGAGAACATGAAACAATTTTAGGCCACACATTTAACTTTATGCACATGCTTAAGTACTTTCCTGAACCACACATCTGCCATATCTACAGGTTTTCATTTCCTCCTCCAGGTGTGCAGGGAAAACTACCTTCCATCCCTCCCCTCCAGGAAAGGTAACCAGAGGTGGCAGTCAGAGCTCTCTCCACTTCCCTAAGGATCTGAGAGCAGTTTTTGGGTGGGGGAGGAGAGAACAGCAGATACTGTTTTTACAAAAGAGGTGTGGGCAAGAGGGAGCAGAAAGAACCCAGCTGTTCCTGGTCACTCTGTTCTCTCCTATGAAAAATGGCTCAGATACCCCCTGAATCTCCAAGCCCAGGCCAGGAGAGAGAGGGATTGAAGAACCCCTGGAGCTGACCCCCCTGTCCCACATTAGGGGTGTGTGTGTGTACTGTTGATAAATCCCTGGAACTGATCGTTGCCCTTCAGGGCTAGATGTGTGTCTGGACGATAGGTCCATCAATGGCTATTAGCCAAGATGGTCATGGATGCAACGCCATGCTCTGGGTGTCCCTAAACCTCTGACTGTCAGAAGGTGGAACTGGCCGTTGTTATGTTCCTAAGGGAAGAGCCACTGGAGTTCACCCTCGCCCCACACGAGGAAGTGGGACTGAAGAATCCCTGGAGCTTCCGCCACAGCTGCAGCAGGAACAAAGGGGAGTGCAAGATGAAGAGGCTGATGTGAATTGTGGGGAGCACAGAATTAACTGTTGGCTGCTGAAATGTAAAAAATCGATTTGGGGCTAGAAGCACACAAATAACTAAGGGGGCTGATGGGGCCAGAATGAATTGATGCAAGGCTAGGAAGTATATCATTCATTTATGGGGAGGTGCTAGGATACAAAATGTGGGGTTAGAAGGCATACAATTAATTAATTGGAGTTTGGGTAGAAACCCTACGTATCATCAAGCAATACTTATGCAAATGTGTTTATTTTTGTCATAACATGTTGGCAGGTGTCGAATGGAGGCCTGAATGCACATAAGCCATAGGTTACTGGTTGCGGGCTATGGAACACTATACAATCTCTGTTAATAAAATATCATCCAGAGGGGCACAAGGGTTCAGAAGAGTGAAATTATAATCAATTAACATGTACCATCACAAATATAACATTTTCAATTAAAATGAAAATACTATTGTTTATAAAAAA